TCATTCCATTAAGCACTGCAAAAATGAAATTCATCATTCGTTTACAACATTGACATTGCAAGACTTAGTAGAAAGTACAATAAAATATATTTGCACACCTTGATTTTCTTTTTCTATAACTTCAGCTGCAGAAGTAATTGTATTAGGAAACGCAACAAATTCAGACAAAGGTTCATTAGGAAAACAGGTCTTTCTACACCTCTCAATGCCTTCATGCCAACCAGATTCTCCGTATGGGAAAAGTAATGGATACTGTAAAGGATCATAACAACCGTAGTAATAATGAACTATATGTGAATCACCAGAATTGCCATATATAGTAATGTCACGAACGCGAACATTAGTATTTTCATTGTCTTCAACCCATACAGCAGCTATTTGAGATGATGTAGGAGTATTGAAAACTCTTTGATCAAGCCCTGGATCGCACCTTATGTGTATTTGATGGTCTCGCAAGTTAGTCATATTACTTAAAGACCGGAAGAATATACTATATGGATTCACTTTCAAACTTTCAATTAGAACAATTATAGTACACTGAACAAAGTTCTCTGAAATTTTCATACGATTTTGAAGTTCATTATCTGTATCATAAAAATATTACTGCATATAAGAAGGCGTATTATTCCTTGGGATAAGTTCATTTACATAATGATATACTTGCCCTTGAACTCTAAATGTGTAAATACCTCTGTATGTTTTAAAGAGCTCTTTATCGTATTTGACACCAAATGAAGTGAAAGCAAAGTGATTATTATATCCTCGTACAATTTTTTTAAATTCCATACATGTAGGTTCTTTAGAAGTAAACAAGTTGTNATTTTTTTAAATTCCATACATGTAGGTTCTTTAGAAGTAAACAAGTTGTACATCTCAGTTGGTGAATCAGGCATAGAGAGATGAATTTTTCCATCTGAACAACAGAAGCCTTTACTTTCTCTATAGAATTTTCTTGCACCACAATATTTACAGCTATTGCATGTCGGTAATACGTATGCATTTGTTGGTATGTTCAATACATTAAAATTACTTTGTAATGTCGAATTAGAAATATGAGGTATCTCTTGGCATGAAGTAGAAGCCTCAAAATCATGATACGTTATAGATTGTTGCATTTGTACAACATTGGAATTGTTATTTCCACATGACATAGGATTAATTATCCTCTTACGATGATCATTGCAGTCAGTTCGAAGTTGATTTCGTCGATCCATTTGCCTATGGTTTTCTTGTTGACGATGGGACATTGTTTCGAAATGAAGAGAACCAATCGCTTGAACTCCATCAGAAGATGATTTCGAAGCATCCATGATAACAATAAGATAATTTGTCGAATAATTGGAGCCCAAGGTAACCAACAGGAACTAAAAGAATTAAAGAACGTTGTTAGCACATATATTACATTGTATGTCTATAAACAAATTTGAGGAATTTGATAAAAATTTAAATTTTTATTTTTATCGAGAAGAGAAAAAAAGTTGTAGAATAAAACTACCCACAGGGGAAAGAAAGTTTTGAGCTTGGCTAAGAAATACTATACCTGGTGGTTGCAGGCGAGGGAGTTGCGATGGAAGAGAAGGATGCCAAATTGCAATGAAACTGAATAAATGTGACTTGGCTGTATATTAATGAAAATATCATATCAATCCACGTGAGGAAGCATGAAAAAGGAGAGATATTTATAAAGGAGAATAAGGTTAAAATGGGAAAGTAAAATACTTCACAAATGAACAGTATACGACCATCCCCTCTTTTAATAGAGTTATGAATGAAAATATCAAATCAATCCACATGAGGAAACATGAAAAAGGATAGATATTTATGAAGGAGAATAAGGTTAAAATGTGAAAGTAAAATACTTCACAAATGAACAGCACACGACCATCCCCGTTTTTAATAGAGTAGAGATAGAGAGATAGATATAACCCTCGGTTATAAATGTGAACATGCTATTGTACACAGAGAATGGACCCAAACATCAAACAAAAATATAAAGCCAATGCTCATTAACTATATATTCATCTCCCAGAAATCGAATTCTGCACAATGTAAACCAACTTACATTTAGTGAATCCCGTAGTGGACGAAAAGCTTCAGAATAAAATTCTTCAAAATCCCGTTGCACCTGTTGATCAGATAAAAAATACAAAAAATGAATATTGGCATAAGAAGAATGCTTATGACCTCATTTTTACAAATCATTAATTGGTGGTGATGAAAATTCAAATAGAAAAGCAGATGAATTGGTGCCGGTGAAAATTCAAATCGGGAAATCGATGAAGTATAGGGAAAATAAATATGACCTTGCTTTTGAGAGATTGAGAACAGAAGATTAAGATGTCTTGATTGCTAGCATGATCATAAAACAAATTACCAGCTACCTAATCATAGTAAACATGTAAGCATCATGATTGCCACTTGAAGTTCTTGAAAAAAATGAAGAAATCTATTTTTCAATGGAAACATATATCCATAATTAAAATAGAAAAATCAACAATGGTTACTTAAATTCACATCACATAGATTAAGTTTATTTCTATACTATCATGACAAGATATCTTCAATGGTACATAGATTTAATGCATTAACTAAAAAGTTACCCTAGGTGAAATTTTAAAAGTCCTTCATATTGTTACATTAACAAGATAAGCTAGAATTACGTAAAATTTATATGTGTAAGTATATGCATAACAGTTTGTTGGTGTGGGGTTTGTTAAGTTAATGCATAGTTAGAGCTACATATAAACTCAAATGAGTGACCAGTTGACCACTAACATCGGTAAAAAACTCCAAGAATCCTATAGGAACAAAATTTTTTATCACCCAAAAAAAGGAAAAGTTTAATTTCTAGAATTCCAACGCAGTGGAAAATGAACAACTCGTTTTTGAATAAATAAAAGGCTGGTGAAATATGTGTATAAAGATAGACACATCAATTCCATCAATTATAACCCTAAACTAAACTAAATATGAATTCTGAATATTTGGGAAACTTTCACAAAAATTGAAACGAACACAGAAGAGAATAAATCAATCCTCCAAGAATATAGAGTTGAAAAAATGAAACAAAATAACAAAAGGAAAATTATGAGAAGAACATACTTGGAGTCGACACTATTCAATTTCCTGTAGAAATGCCCTCGAGTTGTTGTAGATTTTCACCAAAACGAAGGGGTGAGAATTGTAATTGGAAGTGTAAAGATCAATTTTATGGCAATTATGAAGCTATTTTGTACGAGGAGGAAGAGAACAGAGCCGGGCGCCGAAGAAGAAGAAAATAGAGGCTGTGCTGAGGAAATGAGAGGCGGTGCTGAGGAAATGGGGGCCGAAGAAAAAGAAAATAGAGGCG